CGAATTTATAAATCCAAAATTTAATCTCTTGGTTAGCAAACAACAATTGCACCTTTAATAAAAAAAAGTCTTATTCAATTGTTTCTCCATTGTATGACAAAAAAAAATTGAAAAAACTAATTATTTATATAAAAGGGTAATTTATGCGTAAATGAAAACTTTCAAATAAAAGTATAGATGGACAAAGAGAAAAAAAAACGTCCTTTATTTCTAATGTTCCCTTCTAAATATTGATTATATTTCAGAATCTACGACTCTTTTTCCCCGCCCTTTTATACTTAGCTCTAATGCACTAACTTATATTTGAAATGAATGATTAATTGTCATAGTGTAAAGAAATTAAATGACTAATTGTGCTTTCTAGTTTTTCTTATAAAGACATTTTTTAAGCAAAAGTAACAATTTGTGTATTACAAGTTATAACTTGCTATTTTTAGTTTTATCAAAAAGTAAAATCATCAAGATAGTGATTGCAAGCGAACCAACAAAATTAAGTAATAATCATAAATAGTATGTGTATATAATGTTGTATATATCGAATAAATTCAGTTGAAATTAATAAAATATACGCAGTCTTTGAGCTTGGTCTATTTAGGAATTTGGATTGCGGTGCTTATTGTCTATTAGCTACGGTTTGCCTTTGACTAGGAATCTGATCTCTGTTGTTTGCTTGTTGTTGGAAGAGATTGATTTCGAGGCAGTGTTACCTCGCCCAATATCTTGATGTTGGTGCTTTTCTTCTACGGTGTTTCTTCAGATTTTGTCATCAAAGTGCGTATGTTCGGATTTTCTTTGGAATAAAAGCTTGGGAGCCGGCTGATTAGGATGATATGATCCTTTACTTTCTTGTTTCTTCTATGGACTTGGTGTGTCCCTAAACTCTTTTGTTAATGTTTTGTTTTGGTTTTGCATCTGTTGTCGAGTAATTGATGTTGTATCTTTGGCTCCGGGAATCTCTATGTATTCGCCGGCTTAAGGTTTGGTTCTGTAAAACTCAATGTTATAATATCAATGAACTTTCCAGATGAAAAAAAAAAAAAGACTAGGTTAGGAATTATGATACCGTCTATATAGTAATTAATCATCACATAGTCATCCACCAAACAAACATATGCTCTAGTTTGATATATTGTAACCAATTAACTCCTATCAACATTTTTTCTATATTATAATCTTATGTAAAAATGAGCTGCTGAAATACAATGGCCAGCATATTAGTTAAAGCTCAATTC